TGTCCTTGTTCCTCTTGCTCTTGTTTCTGAGAGTCGTTCATCTTTGGTTCAGTGTGAGTAGTTTAGACTGGAAGCTTCACCTTTCTGCAGGTTTGTTTCCTCATCCAAAATGAAAAGGCAGACCAGCTGATCTTCCTGAGCTCTTTTCGGTTTAAACTTTCATCAGACACTGCAGTTTTTTCTTTTCAAGGGATTGAAAGGTGGAATTGGGGAAATTTCTAGTCCTTGTTTGTCAGAATTCAATTTGAGCTCTTCTGGTTGCATATTCTTATGCTAAGAAAAGGGCCTATTCACATGTATATTGGGAGCCCTCAACAACTTTATCCTCAGAGGTGCTGAAGGAGAAAGGATGTAGGGAGATCTGGGGCAGTGGGAAAGGCCTGACCCACCCTCTCAAGAGAGGGTCGGATTAGGCCTGGATAAAAAGCTCTGGCCTCCTGATCCCTCTGCTCACTGAGGCCTGGCTGGCTCTGGGTGGTCAGGAGGCTCTTTGGTCAGGGGGGAGTCTCACCCCCTCCCCGAACTCTAGTCATCCTAATGGGCCCACAGCAGCAAACTTTCTCTTTCTTCAGTCTTGCCATCCTAGTAAGTTTTTAGCAGGATAGGCAGACTGAAGAAGGTGAAACCCACCTGAGCCATGCTGCTCCCCTGCGGCTGCCCGCTCCTTCAGCTGTCGGCTGTGTGAAGGGCTTGTGCTATGGAAAGCCTGTCTCTGCAGCTGTTGGAATTTTCTCAAGACCATGTTGGTAACCAGGAAGAGTATGCAGAGGAGAAAGCTCATTCAGATCACTACCCTCTTCTGTCAAGGGGAGAGTGCGTGGGTCTTCAGAGAGTCGTCAGCCTCCTGGTGAAGTGAGGGTGTCCGCGAGGGCTGCTTTACCACAGGCGTGATGCTTCCCTGACCCAGCGGTCCCCATCGTGCCTGTAGTGCTCCGTCCCTAGCGGTTCTGAGCCCAGTGAGGGATGTCAGGCTGGGTCTGTCTGCTCTGACCCTCCAGTGTCTCTCACCAAACAAGTCCAGAATCACGATCAAACTGCTGTGTAGCTGGTACTATGCTGTAAGCTCTTCGACAGCATAATGCATAACACTTGGCCCAAGCATCTAATAATACAGTAAGAGAGACAAGAATACAACTTAAAGCAGTGGTTCTCAAACCTAGGCATCCATCAGATGCACCGGGAGGGCCGAATTCGGATTGAATAGGTCCGCAGTGGAGCTGAGAACCTGCATTGCTCCCAGGCGCCGCTGCTGCCGGTGCCGCTGCTGCCGGTGCCGCTGTCATACAGAGAAGATAGGGGTCGGGAGCGTGGAGGAAGGAACAGATAGCTCAGCTTGGTTTATGCATCTTTCTTCTTGTCATTTCCCCTCTTACACTTCCTGGCTCAGGTTTTTCTGCACTTTGTGAGGCCCTAAACCCGCCCTGGAGGACTCCCGCAGCATTCCAAGGTACTTCGGGCGCTGAGGCCTGTGTTAGGAGAGCCTGTTGGCTTCTAGCTCAGTTGTTGCCGTGTTCTTGGTTTCTTCCCCTGCTCCGGCTGCTCATGGCCCTCTCTCAGGTGGGCTTCCAGGAGCGGTAGGAATGAGTTTAGTCTCCAGAGACTTGAAGAGAAGCTTACTTTCCAAACTAGTCCCTGGGTGAGCGCAGCTCTAAGAGCAGTTTTCAGACTGTTCTCTGGAACCCTAGCGGACCTTAGGGACTGTCATGGGGGTTGAGGTCCTCCAGTTCAACACCACCACCACTAAGTCAACCAAAATTTGCTACGCTTTTATTTTAAAAGGGATTTTGGGGGCACCTGGGTGACGTCGGTTAAGAATCTGCCTTTAGCATAGGTCATGGTCCCGGAGTCCTGGGATCCAGTCGCACATCGGGCTCGCTGCTCAGTGGGGGGGCCTGCTTCTCTCCCTCTCCCTCTGCTGTTCCCCCTGCTTGTGCTCTCGCTCGCTCGCTCGCTCTCTCAAATAAATAAAATCTTTTTACAAAATTAAAAAGGGATTCTGGGAAAAATTAGTTTGGAGAAACGGTTCCACTGCTTTTATTTTGAACTTTGAAGATCATTGTCCTGTAGCATTTGTTCTGGTTTGAGCCCCCATTTGCTCTTTTGCTGGTTTTTTTGTTTCATTTTTGTTTTAGTGTGACAGATACTGAACGGATTGGGAAATCTTAGATCTAGGTCCTATGGATATTTCCTAAACTCCTTTAATAAAACAGTGGTATATCTTTAAATAACTTTTAGAATGTTCCACCAGGTACCATTCAGTCCAGCAAACAGTATTACACACTAAATGCTAGTCTCAGAGATGGCCCCAGGGGCACAGACTTGGCAAAGCCCTGGATCCTCTCTTCCTGGGCGCTCACTAGGCAACCCCTGGAGAAATCCTCCTCACTGCCCTCCTCTCCCCCAGGACTCTCCAGCTCAGAACATCTCCACTGGCACATTTTGAGCTCATCTTCCTCATCCTCCTGACCAGCCCACTCTGTGCTGCATGTCTCTTGACATTTATGGTAACTCAAGATTCCTTCTCAAGGGGAGAAGGGAGAGATGATGAGAGGTAATGAAAGACCTGATCAAATGCAAGTTCACTCCAGTCTCTCCTAGGCATCCACTTCACTTACCTGACTTCTACTGTTACTCAGCGGCTTTGGGTGTGGGGGATTTGGAAGCAGATGCCCCATCCTGCTGGGCTAGGTTTTGGACAAATGTTAGTGAATAGTCTCTGAGCGTGAGTCGAGACCCAATGGGAAGTAATGCTCTAGGATAAAAATGTGGAAATGTCTGGAAATCATAAATCCCATCTGTCAAGGCTGAGATTGAAATCCTGACTCTACCTGTCTCCAGTATTTATCTCTGTAGGATCAGGTCTCTTAAAAGACATCTCATTTCATTTTTAAAACTTTCTAAAGGAAAGTGGATCAGATTAGAGCACCCCCAACTTGGCCAGTTCCTTTGAGGCCACAGGCTGAGGACCTGCTGCCATCAGGCTGCAGGCCCTGCATAGTCCTGTCTGATGGCGGTTAGAGTCAAGAGTCGTCTGCTGTCACAGTAGGGCTGAGCAAGCATGGGCTAAGACATTCGTGTGCTAGGTCCTGAGACTCTCTTGACTTTTTTTTAAAAAAGACTCAGAATGTCTTAAAATAGCATGGTAGCTGAAACAACAGTACCAACAACAACAATAATAGCTTGCCATTCCTGAGAATGGTTGTTTGTTTAAAATCCGAGGCCTGGGTTCTGGCAGCAGTTCGTTTCCACGAGCGGGGCTCCCACAAGAGTTGCTTTAATGGAAATCATATGGTCTCGTCGTGACCGGAAACACAGGGGTCTGTGAAGCGTTCTCCCAACCCCTCCGTAAGGAATTTTCTGACAAACTACACACTCTAGAGCAAGAAATAGGTGGTGTAGACTTGATCATTTGAAGAAGCTTAGGATGCTACTGTGTTCCTATTCGAATAATAAGGATGAGTCCACGCTTCGGGCTCGGCTCTCCAGTCTAATCTACACGCAGTCTGCCCTCCCCTCACCAAGTCTGAAGAGGACATTTTAACTGCCTTGTTGAGAGGGGGAGTCGGGGGCAGCCGCAGCGTAGCTCTCCGCATTGCTGGGGTCCCCACGCTGCCCTCTGAATGGATAATCCTCAGTCAGCTCTGGACTCCCCATCTTTTCAGTAGTTCTGGCTGTGCTGGCTGGCTGGCTGTGGAAAATCTCACCAGGTCCCCGTGCACCCATAGGCTCAGCTGCTTTCCCCATTGCTCCAAAGAGTAGTCCCCACATCACACTCAGGAAAGTTCTCTGTCTTTAGTCCCCTTCCCATACTGAAAACCCTTCCCAGAGCCACAGTTTGGGGGGAGGACGGAGAGGATGAGGGAGATGTGGAATGAGCAGGCCTGGGGTGGGGTGGCTTATATGTGGGAAGGAGTGAAATGACCCTTTCGACCTTGGGTCACGTGCACGCTAGACTTCTGGAAAGTCCTGAATGGCAGAATGGCAGAGTCACTAATGGCTTTATGACAGTCGCCTTTTCCTGACTCCTTCGGCATCCCCGGGTAGCATCCTTGGCCTCCTTGATTTCAGATTTTGACAGGTGATAAAAGCACATACTGAGATTGCTGTTTCACAGAGTCCAGATTCATAACTATCGACTGATGTGATTTTTTTTTTTCTTTGCTGAGACGCTCCCTCATGTGTTTGCTGTTATTTTAATGGATTGCTTCCTGATATATTCTGAGCCCCGGGCACTTGCCCTTCAGTCTGGCAAACTGCAGCTTGACCTGAATGGAATCGGATTCAGACCAGTCAGTTGGCAACACGACTCACTTGTTCCCCCTAGAAAATACAGTCAGTGTAAGCAGCAACTACGAGTGTTCTAATTTGCATCTTCGTGGAGTTTAACTTTAATCAGGATACTCCAGGCTGTTTCACTTCTCCTCTCTGCATTTTTGACATCTTAAACGCCCTGCAGGTACAGTGGCTGGCCCCTGCTTCGGAGAGCTAAATGGAAAGTGCTTGGTGATGATGATGTATTTGTCAGTAGTAATTACACTGTTAAACAGAGAAGGCCTACAGTTGTGCTGGTCTATCATGACCCTGCCAGTAAACCATTGTTCTCCCAAAGGCTCTGCAGTGGGTTTTCATGGGATATCTCCTACCAGTTCTCTTTCTTCCTCTGCCCCTCTGAGGGCCACGTGTGCGGTTTGGGGCAGGAAATCCCCACTGTTCTTGTTTCCCCCCAGCTCTGGTTGGAAAGACATCAGAGTGTCCAGGGCAGAGCCCAGGCCTGAGATCCCAGCAGGCCAGACAGGCAGCAGATGCCGGTTGCTTTTTTCCACTTTGTATTTACCATTCCCTTGCTTAGAGTTTGGGGACCAAAACCCACAGGTTGTTGAAAGCATGAGAGTAATTTGACTTCTGACTGGATGGGGGCTCGGGGTTGTTTGGTGTTTTGTTTCTGATTTGAAAGCAGCTGTTTGGTAACCACTAACTCTTCCCTTATTCTTTTCTTGCAGATGAGCTCACAGTGCCTGCACTTTACCCCAGTAGCCCTGAAGTGTGGGCCCCGTACCCTCTGTACCCAGCGGAGTTAGCGCCTGCTCTACCTCCTCCTGCTTTCACCTATCCCGCTTCACTGCATGCCCAGGTAATTTATACCCATCGGCCACGACTTCACTCCCTCCACCACCAGTCCTTTCGAACCTGGTTCCCCAGAGCACACCATACAACTAACACCTATCCGGCTAACAGATCCCCCTTCCGGAGATTAATGACCTCCTCTAAATCAAGCTGACACTCCTCCAGGACTTGAGGACCGTCTGACAGCAATGATATCACCCACTGCCTGATGTTTGCCCCAGTGACACCTCTCTCTTCCCTAATGATCTCACCCTCATACCACACACGAGAGACGGGGTGCAGGTTCCCACCCCCCCACCCCCAGCCCCCAGCCAGCCCGAGGGCGTCCCTAGAACATAGTCGCGTGTGCCTGGTCATGCGGGAGGGCTGCCGAGGGAGGCTCGCGCTGGTTGCCGGAGTTCTGTGTCTGTGCGTGGAGGGATTTCGTCTCTCATGTTCTAGGAGAGCTAGTGACCAAAGGGGAAAGTTGGAAGCTTCCAGGAAGACCATGTGCTAGCTTACAGATGTTACAGGGAAGATTAGGATTCCTTTTTTTCCACCTTTAGAAAAGGAGGTACAGTGTAGTGTGGGGAATGTAATTACAGGTCAAGGTGAAGGTCTCTGTCTGGACCCACTTCCCTTCTTAGTTAAATAAAACTCCCTTGTTTCTTCACAAAGATTACTACCCACGTACCAACCCTCCCTCTCCCCTTGGTTGGGGGGGGGGAGTTGCTCTTAGTGCAAGCAGTAGTAATGAAGTAGTGTTAGGATTCAGCAAGGATCAACAGCAAAGAAGAGAGAATATAGATTTCATACATTTTACCGCATGTATAACTCCTCTAAAAGTAGGAAAGCCTGGTTTCTGAAAAACTGTTGGCCTGGACAGAGAGGTGGAGTTTTTGTTTGTTTTGCTTAGTGTTTATTTACAAGGCTGAATGAAATACACAGCTTCCCAGAAAACTCTTCCTTCGGACGGGGAAACTCTTCCATGTTGTACAGAACTCACTGTGTTGACTAAAGCACGGACAAGCAGCCCCCTAGCTGACGTCCTCGCGGCCAGGGGCTCAGGCGGGGTGCTGGCAGCGTACGCGTCCGTTCCGTTCCAGCCGAGCCGTGCGTGCTCTGTGCACATGTGCATGGCCCAGCCTCCCGGGCACCAAGCAGGCAGACTACAGAGAGAGGCCCCCGAAGTGACGACCCTCGGTGGTGGCAGAAGGAGGTAGTGAGGGAAAAGGAGAGGGTGACGGTGAGAGCTGCTGGCTCGGAACAGGACTTAGAGCAGCCCCAGGATTCAGAGCCCGATGGCCCGGGGTCCGGATCGGCTGTGCTTTCCGCTTTCCCTTCCCTCGCTGCCGCCTCGGCCTCAGTCCCTGTCAGCGCTTGGGCTCCTCGCAGGGGCCAGGGGAGGGAGAAGGGATGAAACCTAAACCTGTGGCTGTCTTCTGCTGAGTCATTGAAATGTTCTCAGTGGCCTTGGGGATAACTTTGTAGCTTATGGGGAGCGACTCAAAGAGGCCCCCTCTGTTTGTGGGCCCGCCCCCACCATCTGTGGAGATGTCTTCGCTCCTCTTCCTAGACCGCCTAAGTAAGGATTAACTGACAGTTGAGGCAAATGTTCCTAATACCATGGAGCGGTGCCAGGTGTGCAGAGTATTGTGACTATCAGTGGCTTTGTTAATCAGCAGCAAAGCCTTTCACCATTGTCCTGGAAAGGCAAGAATTGACAGTGGCCAGAAAGGACTGGGAACGGTGGCTTTGGGGCCTTACTAACATCCGGGTAACTTGCCTTGCTTCGTATAATGATTGAAATCCAAAGTCTGTCTGGGGGTGTATGGGAGGAGGAACTGAAGAGTCTTAAGAGATCAGAAAGCCCATGCCCATTGTGAGAAAGGTTAGAGACAGTGCCAAGATTAGATGGACTCAACCATTTGAGGTAGTGGGATGTATTGCCCATGGTGGCACCCTCCCCTGTGAGTTCTGTCTTGATCTTGAGACTTTCCCAACCTGGAATCTACTTGGCTCCGCCACATCGGTCCTAGAGTTGGTGGAACTTTCATCTGAAATCAGTGAGATCCTTGTGCTCAACCCCAAAACTTATTTGGAGTCATTCCCAGTGCAAGCTTGGGTTCTGTATCCAAGGCTCATGAACAGATACGGTTATTTAAATTCCTTTGTCCAAGATGAGAATCCTAGAATGAACTGGTAGAGGCTTTACCGATCCAGCAGGTCTGCCCATTTTACAGTTGAGGAGACAGACTGGAGAAGATGGAGAGTTCTCGAAAGTCGCGAGTGGCTCTACCGTGACTGGAGCCAGGTCACCTGACTCCCAGGCCTTGCTCTTTCCACGCCTCAGTGCTGGCTCACCAAAGACTTACTCTTTGTTGGAATTTTGGAAAGGCCTCACTCCACTGACTCCTTGGAACTTTCTTCTCTAAGTAGATGAGAAGCCTGTAAGAAGAGACTTGGAGGCAAAGACAAGGGAATAAGAACTTAACCTTCACTCAAAGGGCCTGAGAGAATTTTTATTAACTGGAGGTAGAGCAGTGGGGAAGACTAAAACGGAGCATCCCCTTAGTGGATGGTTCCGGTTTTGTTTGGAGATCTTACTGTATGTCTTTGGAGAAGCTTTTATATTATTTTGCTTTTCTTAGCAATGTTGTGCTCTGTTTTGAGACTTGGATTTTTTTTTTCTTCTAGTGTTTCTCTCCTGAGGCAAAGCCCAACACACCTGTCTTTTGTCCACTTCTCCAGCAAATTAGATTTGTCTCTGGGAATGTGTTTGTAACATACCAACCTACTGCAGACCAGCAGAGGGAGCTCCCATGTTGAATTTGCTTGTTAGCTATTTTTCCCCCATTTTGCAAAAATTATTTCTTGGTAACATTTGAGAGATTTCAATAAAAATTTTAATCAGAGCAAAAATTACCTCAAGTAGACTGCAGCGTTTTGTTTTCATGGTGATGTGAGTTTGGAGCTATGAGATTGTGGGAGAATTGGGCCCATGATGCTGAGCACACACCACATGGGAGAAGGCCTCAGAGCATCCAGGGGAGGCTTGGCCCAGAGCCGAGGCCTCACTGCTGCTACTGGTCTCTTCTTGGGCTCCCGAGCCATCAAGAGCTGCACGGTGGAAGATTCTCTTTCTAGCATCTGTGGGTCACCTCTACCAGGAGATCTTGCATCAGCAGGGATGGTATGTCTGGCTGTCAGAAGCCTGTATGAAGCAAAGAGCTGTGTTTCCAGTCTGTCCGCCCTGATCTCGAGGAAGGAGGACCCAAGGGGCAGAAATTGTCATTGAAGATCAGGAGTCGCATCTTCTGGTTCTGCTCCAGCTTCCGTCTGTGATCTGGTGCTTCCATCTATAAATTGAAGATGCTTATTTGACACCACATCTCATTTTTGAGGCCTCATTGCAGAAGGTAATGGGACTGTAGGCTGCAGTACTTCTGTGTCGTTTGTAGAGATGAAGGGACAACTTGATGCAGCAAACAACGGAGTTCTAAGAAGATCATTAACGTTTTTAGACATGATCATCCTGTTTACTTTCAAGGTTATTGGTGTTTGAAAATTTATTAAATATATTCTGAAAGCCACTGTGAACAGAAGGGCAGGTTTTATCCATGGCTTTTAGGAACCTTCTCTCATGCACATACAGCACTTCGTGCCACATCGTCCTCACACAGCTCAGCCTTTTCGGTCCCCGTTCAGTTTTGCTTGGTGCCAGTTACTCGTTTAGTCTTGTTGCTGACGGGGCAGAGAGAAAACCAATAAAGTGCACTGCTCTCATTACATTCTAGAAACAATACTATTTACCCTTGACCCAGTGCCACCTTGTTGGGCCAGAAGCTTGTCCAGGTAAGTAGGACTGAGAGAGCAAGTCCCGGTTCCCTGTGTCTTCTCCAGGGGCCTCATTTGCCCTGAGTCATGGCAGATCTTCCAGGGCTGCTCCACGGCTCACGGCTGGAACCCATCACCTGCACGCCAAGAGAAGGTTCTAAAATCGTAACATAGACTTCCAGGGCAGGACATGCCCCTGGGGAGGTGCCTTGTGACACACAGGACAAATTGTAAAGGTTAAACCCAAAATCAGTATAAAAATGGACCCAGGCACACAGGGAAGGAAGAGAGATCACAGGGGGAGAGAAGGGCCAGGAACATTCTGCAGGTGCTCACGGCAGAGCTGCCCGCCCACCCACCTGATCAGGCATTTACTCAGCGAAAGGCAACTGCGAACTGAATCTTCAAACTTTTTTATAAAAACAAATTTCCTTAAGCCTCTCCTTTGTCACTAACTATGCCCTATGGAGAATACTGAGATGAGACACAAGCGATCTGGTTTGGCACGGGGTGTAATGGAAGCGCACGGCCCAGGAGAGAGGGAGTGTCTTGAGGGAGGCAGGGAGCAGGGCAGGTGTGAGTATGGACTCCGGTGAGCACCCAGTGGGGCGGGGCTCGTGCACAGTGGGTAAGGTGGCTGGTCCTGCAGAGGGAGCCTGAACAAAGCCGGGGGGGGGGAAGCGGGGGGGCTTCGGCATCCCAGCAGCTGGCCAGCCTCCCAAAGGGAAGGGAAGAGTCGGGAGATTCAGGATGTTTGCTTCAGGGCCTCCCAGATGGCATCAGCTCTTACTGCCTGACACCTGGTCCTCGAGGCCTGGCTTTCTCCAATGGCCACCATCCACCGTCTCCCTGCAGTCCAGGCTTTGTGATTGTCTGGGAGAGCATGGCTTTGAGGGACTGCAGAGGTTACCTTTGGGGGCTGATCAGCCCAAGGCTTTAAATTGTTTTTAGACATGGATGAAACTGTTAATCCTCTGATAATGTACCTTTCCCTTTAAACCTTACAGCTCCGTGAAGGTCAGACTGTGAGGAGAAACTGCCCCTGGGTGCTCTGTCTCCTGAATGTGCTAGCCTTGTCTAGTTCCTGACTTGGTTCAGCTTTCTGGTCTAGGAGCCCCTCGGTTAACTCCCATAGGAGGCCAGGTGGGGGACAGGCCAGCCAGGCATTGAGCTCACAGCGTCGGCCTCCTCTGAGCTCTGGGCGTGTGTCTGCCACTTAGAAGGGAGCACAGAGCCCCCTCTCCTTCCCCAGCACCACCTCGGGGCTGTTTCTGTGCCTGCCCCACGAGGCCCGGCCCGTGCCGGAACTCGAGTCCTTCAGGAGGGCTGAGCCTGGCGGTAGCACGGGCTTGGAAGTGCGAGCTGTGGGGCTACCTGGTCAGACACTGGCTCTGCCATTTACGAGCTGTGTGATCTCTACTGAACAAGTGCTTTATGTAACCTCCCTGGGCTTCAGTAAAGTGGGCCTAATAATCCCTCCTGTAGAACAAGAGGGCCTGGGGGCGCCCGGGTGGCTCAGTCAGTTAAGCGACTGCCTTCGGCTCAGGTCATGATCCTGGAGTCCCAGGATCGAGCCCCGTATCAGGCTCCCCGCTCGGCAGGGAGTCTGCTTCTCAACCTCTGACCCTCCCCTGTCTTGTGCTTTCTCTCGTGCACTCTCTCAAATAAAATCTGTAGAATGTGAGAGTGTGCCCTAAATGCTGGTTTTAAGGAGCATGTGAATTTTCAACAAGGAGGACACCTAGGCTAGCTCTCTACGAGGCAGTGATCGTTCAGACGCGACAGGCATCCAGCACCGTCTTGACAACATTGAGGCAGCTGCAGTGTCCTCGTGACTGCGGCCGAATGGAAGGCCAGAGGTTAGGAAGAACAAACGAGCGACAGGCAAGCAGGATGAGGCGTCTGGGGACAGCCGCCAGAGTGACAGCCCTGCATCCAGCCGTGAGGTGTCTGCAGCCTGTGCCAGCGCCGAGAGGACGCGTGCCCATAGGATGCCCTCCCCGACGGCCAGGCCCGGACACGCCTGTCAGGAGAAAACCGATCCCTGACAGGAAATAGATCAAGAGTGGGAAACAGCTGAATTCCCGGAGAGACCAAGTGGTTCCTGTGGGTTGCTTTATTCAAACCCGTTGTCCCTGAACTTTCCAGCTGCTGCCTTATCTTGCTTTGCTATCGGAGAAACTGGAGAAGAGAAAGACCCACGGGTCATCTGGCCCGTTCCTCCCTGGACTCTGTGGCTCATTCTTCCCACAGTCCATCCGCTAGGATTCTGCCCCATCTCGTTTCCGGGTGGCAGCGCCCCCTCTTGTGCCTTGGGAAGTCACTCTCTCCACAGTCCTGTGGCCAAACCCCAGGGGATCCCTGGCCAAGCAAATGACCTCCTGTTTACCTTTTCTGTCCTCACCCCCTCCTCTGCGGCTCGGCATCTGGAGACCTCGGGAGCCCCTAGTAAGGCAGTGAGGGACGGAAGTTCTCGGCGCATCCGCACTGGCCTCTTGAGAAGCAGTCCGGAGTCCTTCAGCCAGAGTTCATGGGGGTAGCTGGCTCCTGTGGCCAGAGCTGCTGCCGGGCCCCGAACTTCACCACGCTCGGCAGCCCCCTAGTCTGGTGGCCCCGGCCGTGGTTGGGGACCTCAGCGAGACTCCTCAAATTTACCGTTGCTGTGACCGAGAGAGCGGCTCCAAGTGGGCCTCTTCCTGGCTGGGGGGCCACAGGGTTTCCTCCTTTTGGGGCACTGTCTTTCCGGTCCCTCAAGCTTGTTTCATTTTGGCCTTTGTAAGGCTAAACTTCCTAGGGCCTATGACTTTTTCCCCGGTCTCCTTCGCAATGAGAACTCCTCCCGAGTCCATGAGCCCACCTCGTCCTTGGGATGATCAACAAGTAAGTGGTCTGACCATCCCAGTAGGGCGGTGCAGAGGGCCTGGCACAGAATCGGGATCAAACAGGCCAGTTTTAATGACTGTTTCCACCCACTGTGCAACCTTTGGGATTTTAAGCAAGTTTATTTTAACCTCACTGAAGCTCGGTTTCCTCATCTCTAAGTAGGAAGAATGAATATTTACTTGATGGGGTCATTTCGAGTGAAAGAGTAAAATGCTTGGCATGGGGTCGTAATTAACCTGGCTCTTCTGTTTCCTTCTTTCTGTCAGAACTTGATCTGGCATGGCCCAGAGGCTCCCAGTCCTCCCTTTGTAGCATTAGAAGCAGTTGGGATATAGGGACTCGAGACCAGCACCCCACCAAGGGAACCCTCAAGGCCCAGGCTCTGTTCTTGGGTGCAGAAGAGAAGTAGCTGGTGCCAGGGCAAGAATGGCAGCCTGCGGCCACGGTTATGCCAAGGCGAGGCTCTGGTTTGGCCAGGTGGCCCTCTGCCCAGGCTTGGGCCTCCTTTCCTGGGAATGGGCACCCAGATACCATCTAAAAGTATGAGAATTCTAAGTGCTCTGGAAACAAAACCAAGACTACAGAGAAAGTTTAGAAATACAAAATGTAGCCTTCATGAAAAGAAAGTGAACTTCTCCTTGAAGAAAACCAATTCTGACAGGGGAAAAAAGGCAAATCAACTCCAAATGGGATCATGTTTTATTCAGGTTTTGTGCTGCCAGTGGGGAAGGCCAGAGCTCAGTGACAGGATGGGAAAGTGGGACACCCCAACCTCAAGCCTCATCCACTCTGCCATGAAGTACTTCTCGCTTCACTGGGCTTGGCTCCTGGGGACCTCTAATGGCCCTTGATAGCAAACATAGTTAAAAATTAACAGACTGGCAGAATTAAATATGGATGACAAGCAGCCACTGTGGACTTAATCTGACACAGGATGTTACACGCTTGGGTGCCCTCGACCCGAGTAACGTCTTGAGTGAACTTCTGGGGTGTCTGAGCACATTTCACATGCCTCTTTGAAGGCAAGAACCTGGCTTGTGCTTAGGACAGACAGGGAAAGAGTCTAAAAGCCCAGGAGAGAAAATTATCCCTGAAGGCTTATGGGTAATTAAGCCCAGCCTTGACTGGTCTTAGCAGGAGGTGTTCACAGGGGTCTAGACCTTGTCGCTGCCTGGGCTCAGGCCTCAGCAGCATCCCACCATCCG